CGATCCCAGGACCCTGGGATCAGGACCTGAGCCGAAGGCAGACACTTAACTGACTGAGCCACCCAGGTACCCCTCTATAAACATTTTAGAAAGAAAACTTCTAAAGCAGAATTTCATGAAAATGAGGTACAGAGTAAATATAAATCTAATGTAAAAAGACTTTCACTCTGACCTGACTTAATGTTTATATTATTAGTATCTTCAAGATATTCACCACAAATATTTTCCAAGTTTCACTACTACCTAATAAATGACTATGACTAGTCCAGGACTTGGATCTCCTCAAAGTGCCTATGTCCACACTTCCCTCTTATTTTATAATTCAAAACTAACTAAACAAAGTGTTAGTTTCTGGCTTAGGTACCATTTCTGGCCAGGATTAAAATGAAGAATATAAAACTTGTAATTTTCCATCTCTGGAAGGGAAGACTCAGTAATGTGATAAGGATACTAACTTTACAAAATTAAAATATATCACAATCTGAATCAAACAATGATAGCAATTGGGGAGGTTGAAATTTTACCGACCAATTTAAAATATCATCTGGAAATACTGATGGTGAAAACAGACAAGATAACTTTAAGAAAAATCAAGAACTTTCTCTCCTAGGTAGGTATTAAACATTTAACAAGCCACCAGTAATTAAAACACAGCTGTTGCAATAAAGTAAGCCAAAAAATGGAGGGGCAAAGAACTGATCCAAATATGCCTGGCAATTGATAAATACGGCAATATGATAAAAAGTGGCATGTCCACAATATTCTTTTACTATTAAAACAAAATTTTTTAATTTTTATTAACTAGAACAATGTCTGCTAAACAATAAGTGAAAAAAGCAGTTTATTACAGAACACTTTTACTGTATAATCTCATTATAGCTTTTTTTAAATGTGTGACTTTGTGTGCATGCATGTCGTGTATATATGCCATGATGAGTATTCACTGGGTACTCCACTCCTCTTAAAGATCTTGATCCAATTATCTTAAATTCCCAATTCTATAGCCTACGAGCACCCAAGGATTTCATGATTCCTGAAAATTTCTGGAGTTTAGTTTCTCATGATCTCTGCTACTTCCTTTTTTATTTTTTTAAGATTTTATTTACTTATTTGACAGAGAGAAACACAGTGAGAGAGGGAACACAAGCAGGGGGAGTGGGAGAGGGAGAAGCAGGCTTCCCGCCAAGCAGGGAGCCTGATGCAGGACTCGATCCCAGGACCCTGAGGTCACGACCCACGCCGAAGGCAGACGCTTAACGACTGAGCCACCCAAGCACCCCATGCTACTTCCGTTTAAATATAGAGAAGTTTTGGTTCTTAGTAAATTTTACTGAAGATGGGGACAAGGGAGCTCACAAGGGAAGTTACATTATGTAATTCATGGCTCTATGAGATCTGATAGCTCCCTTTAATTCCTCACTTTTCCATGTTTCCTGCTTAATTCTTATCACTTGTGTCCAGTATAGAAATTCAGCAGGTATCCTTTAATGCTTAATGCTGCCCTTTGGGTCTCATTCTCTATTCTCAACTAACTTATCAACTTATTTCTTCTAAACAAATACAGTCCTCTCCATTTTAGAAATTCTAATACAAATTTTCTTTAAAATTATAATTATCTTCCTTGACTTACAATGGGGTTATATCTCAATACACCATTGTAAGTTGAAAATATAAGTCAAAAATGCATTTAGTACACCTCACCTACCAAACATCATAGCTTAGCCCAGTCTACTTTAAACATGCTCAGAATACTTACATTGGCCTACAGTTAGGAAAATCATCTCACACAAAGCCTATTTTATGATAAAGAGTTGGATATCTCATGTAATTTATTGAGTGCTGTACTGAATGTGAGAAACAGAGTGGTTGTGTTGGTGCAGAATGGTTGTAAGCATATCGGTTGTTGACCCTCACGATGGCCTGGCTGACCAGGAGGTGCAGCTCACTGTCACTGCCCAGCATCACGAGAGGCTCTTACCACAAATTGCCAGCTTAGAAAAGATCAATACTCAAAATTCTAAGTACTATTTCTACTGGATGCACACTGCTTTTGCCCGACTGTAACGCTGAAAAATTGCAAGTCGAAACTTCTTAAGTTAGGGATGGTCTGTACTTGAAGTCTTGGTAGTTGAATTATGGGTCCTCTTTTAAAAAATATATATATATATATAATCTTTATACTGTACCGCATTATTTGAATTTTTTACAGTGGTAATATACTACTTTCATAAGCAAGGGGGGATATAACTCTAATACTACTACTTTTAAGAATATTCCAGTTTTTTATGCTTTTCAGTCCCGCACAGTAAATGTACCAAAACAATATTAAGCTGGAGAAGTATAGCCATATGAGGTTTCTGCTGGATCGACTCCCTTAGTCCTGCCACAAAATCAAACCATTTCTCTCTCCCATTGTCTCCTAAGAAGAAAGCATATGAAGTGGGCTAGTCCACAAAGAACTCACTGGCTCACTTCCATTTCATTCCTCCATAGCCCCTCTGAAAAAATTAGACCTATAGAGGGTGCTCAAGCCGCAGTGGGGCACATGAAGAGTTTTGTGAGCTTCATGTTGTTGGCAATGATCTGAAGCCAAAGCAGTGCAAGGATGTTCAGTATAGATTTGACAACACAGTTGGATGTGACTCTGAGGAGAAAGAAGGACAAGGTGGTGGTAATAATCTGCAATATAATCCAGTTGAAACCAAGTAGGGTATCCTCTCTATAAAGTTACTATACTATCGAGATATCTGATATTTTCATCTCGGGCAAAATTTGTGCCACTGTTGATGTTAAATTAATACTTTATATTTAATTCTTTTAAAAAATAGGTGAGCTAGTTGGAATGTCTGGAATATTTACCCTGGCCATTATGGGACTTTTTTTAAATTCTACAAGTTTTAAACCAGGAGTTGAAGCACTTCTTCTCGAGTGAGTAGCTAGCATATTTTTCACTGTTTCATGCATTAGAAGCTATAATATTGTAATAGCAACTGTATCTACATATACATTGGTCAAAGTAAGATACTGACTCCAAAACTACCCGACTAAAAACCTTTACTAAAAACTCTATTCGCTTGTGTCTTCTAATCCTCTAATTTTAGGCAAAATTTATAACCTTACCTTGAGTTCATGTTGGCTTTATTTTCCTACAAATTCTCTCAAGTCTCTGACCATCTACTCAGTAATTTCCAGTATAATTCACTAGACAGGGCCAGGATTAAGGTAAGGCATGTGAGGCACTCATCTCAGTCACAAAATTTAAGAATGTGCCAAAATACTCAGTCATGAAGATAAATAATGTTTTAGGGTAATATTTTTTAAAAAAAATAGAAATTAATCCAAAAAATCCATGTTTGTGAAAACACAAAAATTTTAAATAAAGATGGAATCAATATTACTGATTAGTTCCTTTTGCCTCAGGCTCCAATATGGCTCAGCATGGCACTGCTACTAGAATAGAAACCCAGTATTTTAAGAATAATGAGGAGATGGCATGCAAAGCAAATTAAAAGATTAAGCTAGGGCATTTGAAAAGGATTGGCAGTGTTATAAAAGAAAACATGGCCAAATGTACAAATGTATAAACTGTGCCCTGCTCAAGGGCATCCAGCTTAGGGGTGATTGGAATTTGTGCGAACGTAAAAGAAGGGTGCTGCTTTCTGTGATGCTCCAACACGTTGGCTGAGAACTTGACCTAAAGCACAAAAGGGTAACATGTGTTAACAGAAGCCCTGAACATAATCAATGATTATGGAGTTTTGGAGAACATTAGAGAAGATAGAATAAATTCAGAAGTCAGAAGTTCGAAAGCATAGACTCTTAACAGAATTTTGGAGCTAAACTTACTAACATTTCATATCAATTATAATGGAAGCCAATTGTACCAGCAGCTAGGCAGAATTACTTGCCACAATTAATTGTTGGAGGAAGAATTAAAAGCGTCATGTGTTTCAACTCTGTCTTTGGGAAGTGATTCTGAAGACTCCTTTCACCTTTCCGTTCTAACTGAAACCTGGGTCTCCCCTGAAGACATTACTTCCCTTGAATTCCTTAAAAGTTGCGTTTTTCTCACCCACATCCTTGGTACTACTGCACCTAGAGTTGAGGTAGGTGATCTGTCTGTACCTCAAAGTCAGAAGCTCTTTTTCAGTGTGCCTGACTTATCGCAAACATGCAAGTGCGCACACCCATGCACAAGGACATGCACACATCCATTAGCTGGGTTGGAGCTTGGTTGTTCGGCTCATACTCACTTTGAAGTTGATAGACTGATTCCTTAAAGAATCTGGTTTCCTCCTCATCAGATTTCTCCCATTAATTCCTACCACATATGAAAGGGTCTTGACAGCTCCTCAATATTTGTTGCTTAATTGATTTGTTTCATTTTATGCTCATTTAATGAGACTGTTATATTTGGTATTCAGCAGCATTTTTCCACAAATTTAGGAAAATTATTCAGTTATGTAATTGTTAAATGAAGAGAAAGGTATGGTAGTAGTTCATATTCACCATTCACTTGACTGAATTATCCTACTCCATTAATATTCACAAGGGATTTCATTAATTGTAGGGGTAGGTGGGTATAATGCTTTGAGGGTTTTGTTTTGTTTGTTTGTTTGTTTTTTGGTGACTATACACATGGTGCAACAATTGGATTTGCTTTTGATAGTGAAGTCAAAAGAAGGATAAAAAACACAAAAAATTACACAACTGTCATAAAATATATCTTAGTGTGTTTCCCTCCAAGTTGGTGTTCAATGCAGCATTTAAATCCAGAAGTAACAGAATTAAAAGCATGGCCATGCATATGCAAGAAAGGGATGATAACTCACAGCCTAGAGTAATTAGCCTAAGTTTGGTCACAGAAACAGTATTTTGAAGGATTTGACTTAATATTTCCTAGGCTAGAATGTTTTACATTTAATTTTTCTCCGATAAGGCCTAGGTATTTGTGCCTCTTAAATAATGTTCAGAACGGAAAATTCACATTACTGGAACAGAGAAAGAGTTGTTTTTAGTATTGGATCTGTAGTATTTTTGGCAAATCTGTTTTTCTGGAGAAGGGACAATCATTCTTTTTAAGGGTTTCAGGGACTGTTTCTGGGCACTCAGCATATGGCTAAACCAAGCTACCTTCATCTCATAAAGTGGTATTAATGTGCCCTTTTAACCTTTTCAATTTATTTTGTTATAATATTGTGACATTCAACACAGGAAATATAAAGGAAGATAACAAGAAGTAAATTTATTTTTTATTTTTATTTTTTTTTAAATATTTTATTTGAGAGAGAGAACAGTGGGGAGGGGCAGAAGGAGAGGAAGAAGCAGACTGCCCGCTGAGCAGGGGGCCCAATTCAGGGCTTGATCCCAGGACCCTAGGATCATGACCTGAGCCAAAGGCAAACGCTTAGCCGAATGAGCCACCCAGGCACCCCAAGAAGTAAATTTTAAATAGCCTCCTATGGTCCCAATAGCGAAACATGACCAATATTGGTAATTGAGTGTCTTTTTCCAAATTGCTTTGCCTGTAGCAGATGAGAACATGCACTTTGGAGTGATGTAGAGTTTTCCTGGGCTCTAGGGCACTTGAATGTACTTATGTTCACAAATCCTAAATGGAGAATCTATAAAGGACATTCGTTTGAATAAAGGATTAATTCACATCTTCTAAGTGCTAGCTAGATTTTAGGATAAGCCTCAATTCTATCACTATGTAAAGCAGACTAGCAGTTCAGTGTTCTTTTTGAAGATAAATAATTTTAGCTCTTCCTAATGATATGAGGAGTTCACACCAGGATTTTCAAGCTACATGAACCGTGATGCCTGAATGCACCAAAACATGTTTTCAGAATCAATCCCAAAAGAAAGACACTAATTTAAATGTGGTTGCTTTAGAATTATTTGTTTACTTGCCTTACTGCTCCTTTCTCCCCAGTTAAATTATAAGCCCTTTGAGTGTAAGTAAATGCCTTATTCAACTTTATTTTCTTGATTAGGCCTAGCACAATGCCTCACATGAATAAGCCTTGTGATAAATGTGTTAGGTTAGTTAACTGTAATTAATTACATTCAATTTTTTTTCTGAAAATGCAGATTCTGGAATTGTCTATCATTTGTTGCTTTTCTTATGGTGTTTACCTTCATTGGACTTCTAATTCCTGCACATACATATTTATATATATCATTTTCTGACATATATTATTCATTAAATATCTATTTCACACTTATTGTTTTAAGGTAAGAATGTCATTTGAATTTTTCTATTTATAGGACATTGAGTAAGCCCAAAGATATTTTTTAAATAGAAATGTTTCATTCCTTAGAATGAAAATGAACAATTCCTTGCCAAGGAATTATTAGCAAATTCTGTTTTAGTGGGATTTTTTTTTCCAATTTCTAACTGCATGTCAAAGCAATCTAAGCACTCTATAAAAATTTTGAAAATTAGAAGGAAAAAATCTTTCATAATTTTACTACCCAGAGGAAACTGCTATTAACATTTGGTATATTTTGTCCAGTGTTATTTTTTCTTATGAGGTTTCATAAAGTTCAGCACCAATCATAAATAAAAATTTTATGTTGCTTTTGTTTGCCTAATATTGTATAACAAATAATTTCCTTCTGGTTAAATTGTAGTTACAAATAGCTTTTTAAAAATCATTAGGTAAGAATAAAAAAAAAAAAAACACACACACACACACACAAAAAATCATTAGGAAGTCCTCTTTGTAAATGTCCTTTTTACTTAAATAATTTTTGTAGTCCCCTTTTCAGTGGTAAGAGGCAGGAAAGAGTCTGCCCATGTAAGTGAAAAGGACGTGACACAGAGCAGGAAAAACCCCCATGGCTACTCTCTCCAGATTCTATCCCTCATGTTGCTAGGATTCTACTTTCATCTAGGAAAACTAATTAGGAGTTGACATCAGTTGGCTAGTGCCAATTAAATGGAAATTAGTCCCTAATGATCAGATACAATTAGTGTAAAATGTAGGAGATGTGTGATTAAAAGAAAAACTAGAAATGAATCCACCAATATTGGATAAGTTCAGCAAGATTAAAATCTACAAAGAACAAGAAAGGGAAGATATTCTTCCCCCCTCAGTTCTTATTCATTAGATTTGTTTTTATTTCCTTTTGGGATCCAGAATAGAATATATCTACAAAACATCTCTAACTATTTCTTTTCTACCTCAAGAGATGTGGAATTACCCTACTACAAACTTCATAGAAAGAAAAAGAATAATGCCATCCTCTTGTCATCTTTCTCTCTCTATGAAATGCCCTTCTGCCTTTTTTTGGTGCCATGCTAACGGTGTGTGAAACATGACTCATCTGTCTGAGTCGGCCATTCCACAGGGAATAGATTGGAATAGAGTAGAATGAAATGGAAAAAAAATGTCTATGGCAAGAATAACTTTTTAAAATCTCTTTTGTCTTTTAGACTTCTGGTCTTTCTAATAATGAGCCCTCTTTTGTCTCGACTTGGTCATGGGTTCAGCTGGCGCTGGGCATTCATAATGGTCTGGAGTGAAATGAAAGGAACGCCTAATATAAACATGGCTCTTCTGCTTGCCTACTCTGACCTTTCTCTTGGCTCTGAGAGGGAAAAATCTCAAGTAAAGATAAATGAATTTTTTTATTTGAACATTTTATGAATACTGTTGCTGTGTACTAAAATATGTTTTTGTAGTGAGGTAGCTCAACCCCACTTGGACTGCGGGAGTGATTTAGCTATGATGGCAAGATTGGAGAGAGGAAAACAACCGGCAACTTTCCTCTTCCTGGGGAACATTCTGGCTTAGGAATTCCTAAACCCTTAACATTACAATCATGTTTTTCATTACAAGAGCAATAAAACTACATAAAATAAGAGAGGTGAACACACCTGTTCCTACTCTTACCTTTCCAACACCTGATTGAATGATTTGGGTTTACCTTTTCTGGCTTCTTTTTTTTTTTTTTTTTATTTGAGAGAGAGAGAGAGAGCATGAGCGAGAGAGCACAAGCAAGAGAGCACAAGCAGAGGGAGCACAAGCAGGGGGAGTGGCAGAGGGAAAGTGAGAAGCAGACTCCCCGCTGAGCAGGAAGCCTGATGTGGGGCTAGATCCCAGGACCCTGGGATTATGACCTGAGCCGAAGGCAGATGCTTAACCACCAAGCCACCCAGGCACCCTTTTTCATTACACTCTTAAAATAAGTTTATTATGAAAGTTAAAGGAGTTAAAACTTATAAATAATTTAAAATAGTACCTGATCAGTTAAGCCTCCAAATCTTGGTTTCAGGTCAGGTCATGATCATGAGATGGATTCCCGAACTGGGCTCCACACTGGGTGTGGAGTCTGCTTGAGATTCTCTCTCTCCCTCTCCCTCTGCCCCTCCCTCCCATCAAATAAATAAATAAATAAATATTTTTAAAAATAGTACCTGATACAGAGTAAGTACTCAATAAGTGTTTTTATTTTTATTTTTACTTATTCCTAATAGCCACTCGAGAAAAATAGAAACCTGCTTATGATTGACTTTGTTGTTTTCTGTAACTTTGTGAGGCCACATTTAGTAATGCTAGGAACCAAAACATTTTAATGGTCAACTGAAGTTACCTCTTCACTGATACTAGCCCCAAATTCTGCCAAACAGAACATAAAGGGCATGACTCTCCCTCTACCTCATTTCCAGGTAAGACCATTACAAGGAGCTCTGTAAGAAATTTCCTGTGCAGATATCACGATGCATCTAACACTTCCATTGTGGGTTTTTTAACACATAAATTCCAAATGTAAAGAGAAGAGCAGGAAGGGAATTACTGCATGTCTAATTAGATAATAGCCCAAACATTACAAAATTAAACATTCAAACACTGCTTTTAAAACCAAAATTATCTAATATTACATGATCTCCCCTTTCTTTTTAACTATCTCCACATGCCTGAATAATCAAGGTCAATTTGGCACCACACATCCTGGCCAGTGTAAAGGTAGACATTGCACATGGATCTGGATTCTGAAATTTCTAGTTGGCTGCTATTTCTGTGTGGCCATCAGTAAGTTAATTAGTACCTACCCCATCGCACCTGTCAGTTTCTTCATTCCAAAAGGGACTAAATAATACCAGAGTTGTGCTAGCAAATGTTTAACAAGTAACTTTCTTAGGAGTCAGAGGGAGCCCTAATTGGTAGTATTTGTCAATTTCCGTGGTGTAATCACTCTAACAGAACAACAATCAACTCCATAACTTCCTGAAAATGTAATGATCAGCTCTCATGAGCTGGTAAAAGTCAGCTCTAGCACAACACTATCTCAAAGCGTTATTTGAGAAATAGAAAATATACATAAAATACTTAACACATTGTTTAGCATATTGTAAATGTACAATAAATATGAGCCATGATGATGATGATGATGATGCCATGCAGAGCTGATTTGAGATAAAACCCTAGTAAAAAAATCATGTAGTGAGATGCCCTCACTAGTAGTAACTAGTTGAGAAGAAGGTCGCACTTCTTCCTTAATTTAATCTGGCTGAACCCTCCAGCTAACTTTTTAATGCTCATGAAGCAGCACGAGAGGAAAAGGTTAAAAATATCTTAATCCTGAGGGGAGGAGCAAGATGGCAGAGGAGTAGGAGACCTAAATTTTGTCTGGTCCCAGGAATTCAGCTAGATAGGGATCAAACCATTCTGAACACCTACAAACTCAACAG